ATGTGAGTGGTTAATAAGACTACAGGACTAGAACAAGAGTTGCAAGCGTATGGGCTCAAACAGCCAGGAGCCGTGCTAGATCAATGTCGTGTAGTATAGCTCAACAATTTAATTTGGCCTTGAACCGTATTTGTAAGGAGAACAACCGTATGAAAATGTGTTGCACCTGAGATCAAGTCACTAATGATGATTACGTCGTCACGTCTTATTAGTGATGATAGGCTATAATTACGTATTTTAATCGCTTATTATACTCAAATTTACTGCACTTAAATTGAGTTTGAGCTTTAATCGCTAGTGTCTTGCACTAATGGTGTGTTTTATGCATTGTAGGAGTGATTCCGAGCTATATAGATGTTATGGAATGAATTCAAGTGATTTGGAGCTTTAAAAGTTTGAGTAAAAGATCAAGGAATTAAGCCGGGATCATGTTGGGGGGTCAACGGATGATAGTTAGAGCAAACGAAGACTTCAGTAGGTAGATTGCGCACTGTCTAGTAAAATAGATATAACTTTTTGCTCAGAATTGGCTCCACAATATATGGTTGGAAAGCTAACTCAAAGGGCTACAACTTTCATGTTTTACGTTTTTCCAAATTCGGAAGGGAACAGGGTGAAAAACGCGCGAAGTCGCGCGCGTTAAAGGCTGGGGCAGAATAGTGCGCGAAGAGACACGCGAAGGACGCGCGAGCTCGCACTAGTCACCCGGGAAAAATGTCCTTTTTCACATTGGAGAAGGTATAATTGTTTGGGCCCAACCCTACTTGGTATATATACATGAGAGAACGTTTTTAGAGTAATTTTTGACCAAGGAAGAGCACAGAGCCGCCGTGGAGGCCGGGTTTCATCTTTTCTTCCACCAACTTAGTAATTTTTATGTTTCTTTGTATGATTTGTTGTTTTGCTACCATGACTATGTGGAGCTAAACTTCACGTTCTAGGGTTGTGGTTCTTTCATGACTATTGTTATTCGGATATTGATTTTGATTTCTTAGTTTATCATATTGGTTTATTTATTCAATCCTGCACTTAATTATTTGATTGCTTGATCACCAATTGAATACTATCTACGAATCTAGAGTTGAACTCGAAAGTGGGAATTCTAGATTGCATATAGGATTGAGTAGAGCAAGTTCTTGAACTTGGGCCTCGGGGAATGGATTCGCGGTTAGGATAGACATATACCTAATTGCCTTGCTTGGTTGATTTACAGGAATTATAAATGCGTTCTTGTTGATTCTAACTCCATAGACATATAGGCGTTAGGTTAGCTTGAATAGGCGAGTAAGAACCACTACAAGAAAATAGACCTTTAGCGAGGGGAAATTTGGTCGTTAAAAGTCCAATTTCGGTCGTTATAAGTTGATAACGACCGGAAAAAATTCGGTCGTCACCGGTCGTTAAAAGCTCCGACGTTAAAAGTTAACGACCGATTTTACAATCCGGTCGTTAAAGGTTCTTTAGCGACAACATAATTTTCGGTCGTTATACATGCTTTTTAGCGACAGAATTTTTCCCTCATTAAAATGTTATCCGGTCGTTAAAAAACTCTAATCACAACAACTAATTAAGTCAATTCAAGTGATTTTCGTGACCGATATTCCCTTCGTTGATTGTATAATTATTTTTAATAGCCGAATTTCCCTTCGCTAATGGTCATTTATCTGTTTGAGAAACATGTTGATAAAGAGTTTTAATGACCACATTTTTCTTCGCTAATATGAAAATGTAATAAATATAATTACTAAAATTTAAATTACATGAATAGTAATAATTCTTTAGATGCTTTCATACACGCTCAACAACATTAGAAAATAAACCAAATACTTGATATCTTGTTAGTATAATTAACTAAAGTAACATATTTACCAGAAACCAATCCAAATTGTATGACATCATTTTTAACAATTCCTAAAAAGAGAAAAAAGTAAAATTGCAACATATATATTTACATAAGACAATGTCTTTAATCATCCCTCACAAAGCAAAAACCTCTTATACTTCAACTTGCTCTACACTTCTTCAAGGATAGGTTCTTTGGACTTCAAATTTTTAATCTGTTAAAATAACAAATTTATGTTAGTTTGGTAACAAAGAATAAACAACTAAAGAAGATCGTATTAAAGTATAATATAAAGATGAAAAATTTGAAGTGAAAAAGTACATGTTGAAATTGATGAACAGGCCTATTCGATGACTACAAAATCTTTTTCTATGTTGATCCTATAGGCATATTGCTCAACTTCTGAAANGTGCGCGAAGGACGCGCGAGCTCGCACTAGTCACCCGGGAAAAGTGTCCTTTTTCACATTGGAGAAGGTATAAGTTGTTTGGGACCCAACCCTACTTGGTATATATACATGAGAGAACGTTTTTAGAGTAATTTTTGACCAAGGAAGAGCACAGAGCCGCCGTGGAGGCCGGGTTTCATCTTTTCTTCCACCAACTTAGTCTTTTTATGTTTCTTTGTATGATTTGTTGTTTTGCTACCATGTCTATGTGGAGCTAAACTTCACGTTCTAGGGTTGTGGTTCTTTCATGACTATTGTTATTCAGATATTGATTTTGATTTCTTAGTTTATCATATTGGTTTATTTATTCAATCCTGCACTTAATTATTTGATTGCTTGATCACCAATTGAATACTATCTACGAATCTAGAGTTGAACTCGAAAGTGGGAATTCTAGATTGCATATAGGATTTAGTAGAGCAAGTTCTTGAACCTGGGCCTCGAGGAACGGATTCGCGGTTAGGAAAGACATATACCTAATTGCCTTGCTTTGTTGATTACAGGAATTATAAATGCGTTCTTGTTGATTCTAACTCCATAGACATATAGGCGTTAGGTTAGCTTGAATAGGCGAGTAAGAACTCGACAGATTCTTCTGAGCAGTATTAACCCTGTCAACCAATAAACTAGATAAATTAATTAGACAATTCAATTGAAGAATACAATAGGAATGTTAGATAGCCCATAACCCTAGATCGTTTTTATTACATTGATATCATAAAAATCTGCTCTTCCTCTGTTTAAAGTTCATTATTTATATTCTTTATTTAATTAGTTTAGAATCAATTACTTCTAGGTTTAATTCTTGTTTAGATAATCAGGATAGTCTAATTTAGTTAATAGTTAATCACAAGTTCTTGTGGGATCGACATCCGACTTTTAGTCACTTTATTACTTGACGACCGCGTATACTTGCGTGTGCGTTTGGGAGCAATAATTAGGATCCTGACAACTAGATGTAACCATAATAGACGCATGAATTCCACGTTTTAGTGATGTTGTGCACTACATACTATTTTGATTCTATTATTTTTACTATATAAGGATGATTTTGTTCCATAACATCGTCATGCAGAGGAAACATTGATAGGTCAGTATTCTTCCCAAAAGACCCGAATGCTAGTGATGAAGACAGCTCTAATCAAGGCAGCTACACTATTGATTCTTCGCATGATAACGCACAAATCGAGTTCGGCCCATATAAGACTCACCTACTGACCGAACAGGATAACAATTTTCGTGAACTAAAATATTCAGACACATGTGAGTATTACTGTGGAGGATTACAGGGCGAGTGGACACATCGGCGCACTGAATCACAATGTCTTATTCGTAACTTGAAAATATTTGCAGCTCCTATTCCAACAAGATTTTTAACAATCATGCCATGAATTGATCGAGAATCATGCGAGGCTGTGATAAAGAGGATTAGAAAAGAGAACAACCGAATGTTATTAAGAGGCGGTCGGTTCTGTATGTTAGAACATGTGCAGCTGAAGCAAGCATACTATCCAGGCATTAAATACATGTAAACTAAACAACGCAATAAAAACAAGATTAGAAGCACTAACCTCTTGAAGTAGTTGCACAAACCTTCCAAGCAGCAAGAATCCAGGGCTGCAGTCTTCTGCTATTTGCCTAGTAAAACTTTGGACGATTTTGCTATTGGGTGGGCAAGAAAAATACAACTGAAAGGTAATTAATTAGGTGAAACTAGTCTTCCTTTAATAGACCCGAAATTAAGCCATAATAGGGCTCAAAAACGTGTAGGATACTACAAGTAGAATCCTACTCTAACTCAAAAGGATAACTTTTCTCCCAGGCTACTTTTTACCCAAGTCTGTCCAAGTTTTTACTAGATATAGCAAGGACCACAGAAATAATAAGAGGCTACTAATTATAGTATTAATTCGAAATTAGCATGAATTAATTCTTACTATAATTAATTGCAATTTATTCCATTAAAAAACTGCAATTGAACTCCTCAATATGAATTTCGAAAATTCATCAACACTTATTTTAACTCCCCATGTTAAGATTTCAAATACCAGTTAATTAAATTAAATCACTGAAAATTTAATTCAATTAACTAATTAAATCATTTATAATTCCGCTTAAACCATTTCATGTGACGGATACAAAATCCACCAGCCGGGTTTTCACATGAAAACTTATAAGCCTACATAAAGGGGTATCATCAAACCCAACACTGAGTCATGGATTCTATCAACTAATTATTATTCAAAAATGTTATTCGTTATTGTCCAATCTATTAGGCATATACTAACTCTAAATAGAGTCGTACCTTTTGATAAATCAAAACAATAAACAAATTACATTGATCATAATAATTATATCAAGATTAGGAGTATAAGCTCATTTAATGAATTAGAGAAAACGTTTTATATATTCAGTACAAAAATATCTTTTCTCTACTTGGTCCGTTCAATATACACTGAGTATACTAGCACAAGAAGTTGGAGTAAAACTACTCCCATAATCAAGACAAATTATACAATAATCTTTTGCTACAATCATCAAGATATTTTGTCCAACAATATCTTTGATTGTGAACATAGTTTATTAATTATGAGAACCAACAATTTAATCTTCTGTGCATGAGCTAAGACTCCATACACTAAATTGTCTACTACATAACTAAAAGGACACACATGTAACAAATGATCTATTTAAAATAGNGGGCTGAGATGGGTTGGGTCAAGATGGGCTGAGTTCAACAAATTGGCGGGTCAATGACTTTGGGCTGGTAGGGCGGATCAAATTGGTTTGGGCTCAAATTGCCACTCGTAGATGAACCGAACCAGAGAAAAGAGTTCAAGGAAAAGATACCTTCTGCAACTGCTTTCACGGCTAGTAAAAGTATCTGTTGTGAAACTTGCTTCATTGCTTTGCTTCCTGGGGAACCAGCAAAGGCAACCTCCTTGAGGATGGGATATACTGCCTCAAATCTTTCAGTAGCCTGAAAATAGAAATAACTAAGACATTAGAGAACCAAAATCCGACCACTACTAATGGAAACAGAAGACAGAGAAACGCTCAACCACACCTTGACTCGCGCAGAGGGAGCTGGGAAGGTCACCCGTAAAAGCAGGTCAAGGGATGAAGGTGGCATCAGACGCTCTCCCTTCCTAACAGCCCCATTTACTAAAATTGTACGAGCTTTTGGTGCAGAGAGAATCCTGAACCACAAAGATATAATTCAAGAAGCTTGTATCAAGTGAATGCAGATGAAAATGCAACCAAGAGGTGCAATCAAAAGTTACAGACCTTTCTACCAACTGCAGAATCAAGTCCCTGGTCTGTGGATTAGAACCTGATTTCCCTCCAATTAAAGGCAAGGTATGATGCGCCCACAAGTACAATCCAACACAGAGATCTCCCTGACAGGCCTTTATCAGAGTATTACGTGTTACCGTCAGAAGGCCAATATAAGGTGGAGAATAAACAAACAGTAGTTCTGTTAAAAAATGTAGCTCTGTCTAACCTGGACAATCATCCATGCAATGACTGAAAGTTTGTCTTGCCCTTGATACTTTGGGCTTTCCCGAAGCGTCGGCAGTACGTTGATCAAAACATCAGGCTTCCGTCGTAGTACCATTGCCAACACCAGAAACATGGCAACCTGCAATTTAGTAATTTGTAGCACAACTATCAGCGCATGATGCAGTGTTATCAAGAAAAGCTCTAAAACCCGCTCTGGGTCTATTGGGGCTTTAAGCGCAAAGTGCATGAAGTGTGGGCTTTTGTGAAAAAGGCACATTGAAGGGGAAAAACAATATAAACGTAATTCAAGAAAAATTTAAAAAGCTCATTAATGTTTTCCTTAACAGCTAGTGCACTTGTTTGCCGATTATATTTGTTGTTTATTACCACTCGATTCGAGATAGAACTCATGCGCAGTAAGGCGCACACTTAGTACCTTGCATACAGTGAAATGCAACTTAAGTGACACGAAGCGCCCTCCTTGAACTTTTCTGAGCTTCAGGGCTTAAGCGCTAAATGAGCCTTTGACAACACTGCATGATGTCAAGGTTTTAAGAGGAAATCGTCCGAGGAAGTCAAGATATCATGCAAACAAAGCATGACATGGCAATTGGGTTGATTACAACAATAATGCCGAAGGAACTGTACTTGGTTATTGTGAGCGTGTTGTCCTGCTAATCTTAGCTAAGACTTATTTAACTTCAACTATAATGTAGAATCAGGACATGACTTAGTATTCGCAACAATAAATAATTTGACCTACTTAAGTTCAACTAAAATGTCAAATCAGAACATGGCTTAATCTTGGCATCAATTAAGTCATGCCCCATCAATCTAAAATCTAGCTTGCAGTTATTCTTTCATTTTCGACTCGAGTGATTGGTTTGATCAATTTCATCCTTACATGACCTTATCTCAATCGAGAAATATGCTCAAGTGATACTAAAGAATTAGATAAAAGAAATTACTTATGTCACCATGACTAAAATTATATGACTTTGAGAGTAACATCCACATTTTTAATGCAAAGTAATTTTATCCTCTCCTTCACCCCATTTGGCATCTTCCTAACTCTAAAACCTAATAGTGAATACAGAAAAGATGCAATATTCCTAGTACTTCTCACCAAACTGATTTACTCTTTCCCTCTTCCCTTTCCTCTCAGGATTTCCTTCTTTCACGCTTTACCTTTTGCAACTTAATCCCAGAAGGCGCAAAAAAATAAAAATAGATACATCTCCTTCTGTATGCCTGAAGGCTTCTGCTTTTATGAATAGACACATAAACACACAGCGAACTCATCATGCACAAACTGAAAGAAAATCTTTAGAGATACCTGAGATTTTGACGACGTTTGTTGACCGCCTTTCTTGGAGCCCTTAGAACCTCCTAGTTGGGTTGCCAAGTCTACAACAATACTGTCCAATGCCCACAACACAAATGATCCAAGAGACTCGTAGGAACGTTGGTTGATCCAATCCACTGAAGTCTTATAAACTGGTTCAGGAAGATGTGAGAGAGGAACCTGTTTGTTGTAAATCAAGTTATTAATCTTCTAGCCACGTATGGTGCCAACTAAATAATTGAAAGCAACTATCACTCTGTGCACAATATTTGAAACTGCATATCTAAAGGCAAAGAAACATATAGCTTTCATCACATCATACACCAATTATGTAGCCAGTACCATCCATAGAGAGCGAAAAAAAGTCATTGATTTAAGGAGCAGCAAATCACATTTGCTATCCATCATGTATTGGGTGTAGATCTAACAGAGAGGTACAAGCCCTTGACTGACAACTAGATGACCAACAAAGAAAGCCTAAATGTAAGCCAAGTTCCCCGCATCGAGATACATCAAGAATGCCAATGGAACCTAACTGGTTTTACATGAATGAATGACAAAAAAAGCACATCATCAAAATCTTAAAGCAGAAAAGAGGAATATTTATAGAAAATTTGTAAGTGCAGCCAAATTTCTGTCATAGATGAAAGGAAAGGTTGTAATCATCATATTGAAAGCACGAAAGCATAATCACTGTCAGAAACTTCATGAGGAATAATATAGCACTTCACTTTGTAACATAGAGCTCAAAGACAAAAATTCAGGGACCAGTGACCAAAGAAATCGAAAGCCTATAGTGTTAAATATACAAATGATCAACAACTTGGTAAATTCAATGGAATGCTATGCCAAATGTTACAAATTAATACTCCTTCCATTTCATTTCACGTGTCTTAATTTGACTTACCACGGAGGTTTAAGGGAGTAAGAACTTTTGAATCTTGGGTCTTATTAAACTAAGATGTATTACATACTCAAAATGCCATTTGAATCTTGTGGTTTTAAACATGCCATGTCATGCCTACAAGGAAGTGTTGTTAAGGGTAAAATCGAAATGTTAGAATTAAAGAGTTACTAAATATGCATTCTCTTTAAACAGTTTAATAAAGAAAAGTAAAACACAAAACTGAAACAGAGGAAGTACTTTGTTTTTTCCACAGCACCTTGTGACTAGGCGTGGAGTTTATGATATTACAATTTTCTTAATAATGGTGGTACCCTGGCAAACATGCCGGCAACTCGTTATATCCATACTTGCATCCTCCCACTACCACTAGTACAGGTATCAACAAATCTAATCCACAAAGGCTTTGGCAGATTGAAGGAAATCACCAACTTTTGCTTATGG